TGCGGGGCAGGCGGGCGGGGGCTGGCGCTCACGGCCGCGTCCGCTCCTGCCCCTCGCCCAGTCGCTGCTGGAGCTGCACAAGCGGAGGAAGGCGCTGACGGAGCCTGAGGCGCGGTACTACCTGCGGCAAACCATCCTGGGCTGCCAGTACCTGCACAGCAACCGCGTGATTCACCGCGACCTCAAGCTGGGCAACCTGTTCCTCAACGATGACATGGAGGTGAAAATAGGTACCGGCCGCCCTGCCCCGCGGGGCGGGTTCTTCCTGGAGCTGTCGGAGCCCTGGGGTCCCTCCCCGTGTCCGCACGCAGGCGTGGCAGTGGGGTAAATCCGGTAGCTCCTGCCACCGTGAAGCCGAACGGCAGCCTCTCGCCCCCGCCCTAGGCAAGCACGGCCCTCTGTCCACGAGCAAACTCTTCCAGGCACTTGAGACGGGGTCTTGGGAGGGTGTTGCCGCAGGTCCGCGCAGGGGGCTCAGCAGGGCACCCCGTGGCCCTCGACATCCACAGGCGACAGCGGAGTCTGAAGCTAAGCCCGTGCAAGCAAATTCTCTTGTCTGAATCTTTAAGGTGACTTTGGGCTGGCGACCAGGGTAGAGTACGACGGGGAGCGCAAGAAGACCCTGTGTGGGACACCGAACTACATCGCACCCGAAGTGCTGGGCAAGAAGGGGCACAGCTTTGAAGTCGACATCTGGTCCATCGGCTGCATCATGTGAGTTCATGGGATCGTAGGACGGGGAGGGGGGGGACCTCGGGGGGTCACATGTGGTCCAACCCCCTGCTCCAAGCAGGGCCAGCCCCAACTACATCGCAGCCAGGGCTGTGTCTAGCTGGGGCTTAAACGCTCCCGAGGACGGCGACTCCACCGCCTCCGGGGGAGCCTGTTCAGTGCTTCACAACCTCCTGAACTTGCTCGCGTGAACCCGTGACAGGCCGCTCTCTCCTCCGCATGCAGGTACACCCTGCTAGTGGGGAAGCCGCCATTCGAAACCTCCTGCCTAAAAGAGACGTACATCCGTATCAAGAAGAACGAGTACACCATCCCAAAGGTAGGTTGGACCCGTGCACCCTGCGCACCCTCCTGGGAGGGGCCCTGGGTCTCTGGCTCCTCCACTGCTGTCCACCAGCCGAGTCCATCACAGGAGAGCTAGCTATGTCTTGCCATCCTCAGCTTCTCCAGGCTCGACGGCTCTGTTTGGAGCAGGAAAGCCCTGCGTGTTGGGGGGGTTTGGCCCTTCTGCTAGTACAGAAGCACACCGGTCCCTTCTAGCTGCAAACGGTCCGTCTCCTCTTTCAGCACATCAACCCGGTAGCTGCTAGCCTCATCCAGAAGATGCTGAGGTCAGACCCTGCCACCCGCCCCACCATTGACGAGTTGCTGAATGATGAGTTCTTCACGTCGGGTTACATCCCTGCCCGCCTGCCCACCACCTGTCTCACTGTCCCGCCGAGGTTTTCCATCACTCCCACTGCCCTCGACGCAAACGGGCGGAAGCCCCTTACTGCACTTAACAAAGGTGGGGCCCTGCATGGCAATGGAGGGGGTGTTCGGGGCCTAGAAATGCCAGGAGAGGCCTGGATTACAGTGCGGGGCAAATGGTTAAGAGCAAGCTCCAGCTGACAGCCAGAACCACTAATGAGCTCGCATGGAGGTCTGGGCATCCTGGCAGTCTGGTGCTGCCCTTCCCTCCACAGGAGCAATAACTGACCCCTTAGTGGAGAGCCCAGCTCCTCGAGCTCTTGTCAGACGGTACCGAGGGGCTCACCCTGGCCCGTGGCACCCCGACAGCATGAGGCAGCCCTGGAGCAGCCCTCTGCTCCGCCCTGGCTCCTCACAGTACCGGTGCCTGGTTGTTTTGATGCAGCTGGCAGCTCTCGTAGCCTTGCTGGGTCAGTGGTGGCAGCACTGGATCCTCGTGTCTCCACGTCTGGAATGCAAGGGAGGGGCTGCCCAGCACCTGTTGCCCGAAGGGGAGACGCGGGCTTCCCTTCCACCGAAGAACCAGCCAGTCTTTCCCTGCCATTGCTAGCAGGGTGCAACTCTGCCCTTCAAGGCCTGGGTTTTCATGAGGACCCTCCTCAGCTTGAGTTGCAGTAAACGTGGCTCTGGGGAGCAGGCATCGCGCTTGGCCAGGATGGTGAGGGGCAGGACTGTCCGTTCTGCAGGAGACGTCTGGTTCCAGCCTCATGGTGGGAGGGGCTCGCTGATGCACAATCGCGTGGACTTCTCCACCTGCCATCTCCAGCCTTCACACTACTAATGCAGCTTGGCCTGCCCTTCTCCCCCGGCTCAGGACTAGACAGCCCTGCGCTGGAGAAGGTGCCTGAAAAGGAAGAAGAAGCGATGCCGCGGGAGCTGGGAGATGCTGTCGACTGCCACCTTGCTGACATGTTGCAGCAGCTGACTACAGTTAATGCAGCCAAGCCCTCGGAGAGGGTGTTGGTGAGACAAGGTGAGCCCGGGGGAGGTGAAGGGGGGGGGGGT